TCAAAAAAAGAAAGAAACATTGGATGACTCATGCCTATAATCCTAGCACTTTGGGAAGCTCAGGCAAGTAGATCACCTGAGGTCAGGCGTTTGAGACCAGTCTAGCCAATGCGGCAAAACCCCGTCTCTACTAAAAATACAAAAATTAGCCGGGCATGGTGGCACTCACCTGTAATCCCAGCTACTCGGGAGGCTGAGGTGAGAGAATCTCTTGAACCCTGCAGGCAGAGGTTGCAGTGAGCAGAGATCGTGCCACTGCACTTCAACCTGGGCTGCAGAGTGAGACTCCATCTCAAAAAAAAAGAAAAGAAAAGAAGAGAAATGTTGTAGATGGTTATCACTAGTGTGAATTAAAACTGCATATGGAAAATTTGACTAAAAATGAACACACGAGTCCAGTCTTTACAACAGTACAGTGAACTCTTGAACTACGTGGGGGGCTCTGACTCCTACACAGTCAAAAATCTGCATATAACTTTTTCTTTTCTTTTCTTTTCTTTTTTTTTTTTGAGGCAGGGTCTTGCTCTGTCCCCTAGGCTGGAGTGCAGTGGCACGAACATGGCTCACTGCAGCTTTGACCTCCTGGGCTCAAGCAATTCTCCCACCTCAGCCTCCCAAGTACCTAGGATTACAGGTATACACCACCAGTCCCAGCTAATTTTTTTTTTTTTTTTTTTTTTTGTAATTTTTGTAGAGACAGGCTTTTGCCATGTTGCCTAGGCTAGTCTCAAACTCCTAAGCTCAAGCAGTCTGCCCGCCTCAGCCCCCCAGAGTACTGGAATTACAGGCGTGCACCACCACACCCAGCCCTGTGTATAACTTTGGACTCCCCCACAACTTAACTACTAATAGCCTGCTGTTGACCAGAAGCCTTACCAATAACATAAACAGTCGATGAAGATGGATTTTGTATGTTATAAATGTATTATATACTGTATTACAATAAAGAGAGTGAAAATAAAATGTTATTAAGGAAATGATAAGGAAGTGGCCGGGCACGGTGGCTAACACCTGTAATCCTAGCACTTTGGGAGGCTGAGGCCGGGAGACTGTTTGAGCCCAGGGGTTCAAGACCAGCCTAGGCAACATAGCGAGACCCCATCTCTAATATTAAAAAAATTTTAATAACATTTAAAAATATATATAAGGAAGAGAAAATATATTTACTGTTCGTTAACTGGAAGTGGATCATCATAAAGGTCTTCATCGTCTTCACATTGAGTAGGCTGAGGAAGAGGAGGAGGAGGAGGAGGGGTTGGTCTTGTGTCTCATGGTGGCAGAGGCGATAGAGAATCCACATGGAAGTGGAGCCCCGCCGTTCTAGCCCATGTTGTTCAAGGGTCAGCTATTGTTAGATGTGCCACATAAGGAAGTCCAGGCTGGGCGGTCAGGAATCACAGTCACAAAAGGGAGAAGCTGTGATGTGCACAATTTAATGCAGACAAATAATATTTCAGTGGCAACAGATCTTTTTGATAGAATTTATATGGAAAAGAATTGATCCATTTGAAAATCATTTCAATGAAAGTAGAATGGAAAATATTAGAAATAATTCATCTGTGTTGTATGGAAAAATGGATCAAGGGATTAGGTTGGCTTAACAGAGTTCAACTCGGAAGATTCTCAACCAAAATTCTCCAGTATGGGTACAATTCTGTATCAGTTGAAACTCTTTGGATGTGTAAGCAGTTCATACTGCCTTGGGAATGAAACGGCAGGATCACAATACCCGATACTGGCCTGGTACCATGAAACAGCTGTTACTCTTGGTGGCATTTGGCTAAGGCTCGTGTGGCATCTGGGAGCACTTTGGAGGGCCACCCCTCAGCTCACACACATCTCAAAGGACAGTGGCCTTAAGCCACAAGGGAGGTAGAGGGGGCTGTGAGTGAGGGAGAGAGGTGCTACCTGGCATGGGCGGCCGAGGCTGGGAGCTGGGTGAGGGATGAGATTCCTCCCAGGGTGATCCAACCAAGTGGCTGAAAGGCTGTGAGGCAGAAGGATGTTAAACTGTTATGCAAAGGCTGAGTTTCCAGGTGCCTTAGTTTGATGCCTCCCTACCCCATTGTCCACCAGACCCCTCTGAGAAAGGGTCTAAAGCAAATAAAATTCAAGTCAGGTGTCAGTGACCTTGGTTAAACCTTAACGAGGGACATAAGGCAGGGAGAGCCCTAGTGAAAGCTGGTAGTCAGTCAAAGGCTGCAATCAAAACGGCAAATGCCACAGGGCACGGTGGTTCACGCCTGTAATCTCAGCATTTTGGGAGGCTGAGGCAGGCGAATCACCTGATGTCAGGAGTTCAAGACTAGCCTGGCCGACATAGCGAAACCCCATCTCTACTAAAAATATAAAAATTAGCCAGGCATCGTGGCGGACACCTGTAATCCCAGCTATTTGGGAGGCTGAGGCAGGAGAATCACTTGAACCCGGGAGGCGGAGGTTGCAGTGAACTGAGATTGTGCCACTGCACTCCAGCCTGGGCGACAGAGTGAGACTTCGTCTCAAAAAAAAACAAAAAAAGGCAAATGCTCAAATGAGTCCTTGAAGGAGGACAGATCTAGGGTCTGTTCCAATGGTCATCCTCTACATTGACCCTGAGCCCACACAGCTGTCATTCGAGAGTGTCCACATGTACTGTGGATGTACTGGATCTGGAGAAAACATTTCATCCCGTTCTTCTCTCTTGCAGGTTTCAAGTGCCCCATTTGCTCCAAGTCTGTGGCTTCTGACGAGATGGAAATGCACTTTATAATGTGTTTGAGCAAACCTCGCCTCTCCTACAACGGTAAGGGCTTGGCTTGCCTCACCAGCCTCCAGAGCATCCGTCAGGGGAGCCGGCCAGTTCTGGGGGGAGCCTCCAGTCGAGGGTGGCTCTGGGCCGTATTTTCACCCTGCCCTCTGGCAGGTGTCCTGAGTGGTGGTGAGGAAGTGGACTGTTCAGGGAGCCTTGCTGCTCAAGTCAGAGAGGAAGAGGAGCAGGACAAGGAAGGAAGGCCCAGGGGTCAGGTCCGAGGCCTGGGAAGGCTCTCAGGTTGCTCAGTTAGTCCCCTGCCTCTCTGCAACTCAGTTCTGAGGACTTTGGCTGGGAGATGTAGCCATTCCTTCACCCGTCACACACTTGACCGTGGAAGGCCCCAAGACAGCCAGATGTCCTCCACGGCTCAGAGGAGGGGCCCAGAGCAAGCACCCACCCTCCTTGGGGAGGTGGGTGCTGTGTGCTGGTGGCATGTACAGAGTGCCGAGAGGCTGGTCATCTCATTGTCATGTTCGAACTCGGACGAACACCTGATTTAGTCCTATGACTCCACACCAGAGAGCTTGACGGGGAGTATGTGTGACGTAGAGATGTTCTGGGGATTGAAAATGCAGATGGGCCACCTTGCTGCTCCACCCCGGCCATGTTGCCTCCTACCTTGGAGGCTGCCTCAGAGCTGAACAGCGAATACCGCAGTGGGTAGGATCCTGAGGGCAGGGGATTTCAAAACACCCAAGTTAACCTAACAGGACGCCTCTAGGGAACAAAATGACTGTCAACATCTGCCTAGCATGCTGTGCATAAGACTTTGGAGTTCAGCTGATGTGAGTTCGAATCTCCCTCTACCACTCACTGTCTACAGTCTTGCAGTGTACACTCACTGTCTACAATCTCAGCTTAGCGGAGCCTCAGTTTTCTGGTCTGTAAAATGTGGATAGCAATACTTGGTTCATAGGATTGTCAGAACTGGGTAAGAGATGGCACAGGAAGCTCTTTGGTACAGAGCCTGGCACATGGTCAGTGCTTGGGAAGTTATAGCTGCCATGAAAGATGTGAGACCTTCTATAGGTTTCTTTTTGCAGTTCTCCAGAGCCCACAGACTTCTGCTCAGTGCTGCTCAGCCCATGCCACGGCTGGCCCTTGGTTTTCCATGCTTAGTGTTTAGTCTGGTCTCCAAACCATGTTCATCAGAAAACGGCGTCTTCCACTAGAACAGGCAGTGGACCTGAGTGCGCTCCAACCCCGGTCCTGGCCCACCTTCCCAGATTCAAGTCATAGTAGTGGTTGGAAAAAGAGTTCTGGGATTTCTGAGAGCATCTGAGGACTGGATGACTTGCAACCAGCCCGGCAAGAATGTTTCCTGGGGAGACTCTTTTCTGCCCTGCAGCCTCCTCACTCCCAGAAGGCTCTTTCCCCTACAAAGCATGAGCCTAGGAGGGATCATGGTCTCAGAGCATCTCCTGGGAGGTAACTGACTGATGGCATCCACTCGGGTCTCCTGAAAACTTCTTTTAATTACTTGTCCAGCCAAAAGACTCTGGATGCAGGTGGGCATATTACCCACGTGGCTCAGCTCTATGCGTCTGTTAGCCCATGCTCAGGTGGGAGGACCAGCACGGCCCTCCCCTGGGCATCATAGCTGTGGTCTGGGAAGCCCCTTTCCTCCCCAGGGGACAGCCCCTCCTTTCTCCGGGGCTGACTGCTGCTGAGCCTCTAAGTCTGTTGTCACATGTGCTTCAGGCTTCGCGTCAGTCCTGTCGCGTGCATGCTGTCAGGACGCTCAGGCTCGGCTTTGTCCCTGTTTGCCGTCTCCGCCTGGGACCAGGGAGGGAGAGGAGCCTTCCCTGCGTCTCACAGCCCTCCCCAGCCATGGCCTCAAAAACCCTATTCACTTCTTTCCCACATGTGTGGAGACCTCATGAAGTCCTCCGTTTGTCCTGTGGGTTGCTAGGGCGTTCTCTGTAGACACTGCGTTTGTTGTAGGAAGAATACAAAGAAGCCTCAGAGGGGCTCAGCCTGAGAAAACCTGGTTCTCAGCAAGAACTTTGCAAGAGCAGCCGTGGAGGACAGAGTGCTCTTGGGCCCCCATGCCCCAAATGCAGAGTTACCCCCACTGCCCTGTAGAGAACAGGGAAGGTGAGCCTCTCCAGCTCCTCTGCCAGAGAACTGCCTGGGACGCCACTATGTGTCCCCATGTCCCCCTCTGTATCAGCACTTGAGTGCCTGGTGCTGTTGGTTCACCCCCCTATACCCCACCACTGGCAGCCTCACCCAAGGCTACAGAAACCACACTGGGAGCCAGGGCCCCCTTAGAGGAAGGGGAGGTTGGCCAGCCGGCCTGAGGCATGACCACTGCTCCTCTGGTTCTGGTTCTAGTTTTTCCTTTGTCCTGGAATTGAGAAGCAGGCCACCTCCTCAAGGGTGTGTGTGTCTCTGTATGTGTACGTGTGTGTGTGTGTGTGCTTGTAAACTAGAGGCTTTAAACCTAAGGATCTTTTTTGCAAAAGCCAGTCCTTTACCACTGGAGGCAAAGAGAGGCCGGTTGTCTCCAGTCCTTCCAGTGGACTTTGTCTCAAGGTGGTGAAGTGCTTTGTTCAGAAACAATGGTCTGGCCCTCTGTGGACACTGTTCATGTGGTATGGACTCCTCATGTTCAGTCTTTGTCTTCTCTGAAGACCCTAAACCTTCCAGGTAAGAAGAGAGCATTTGCTTCCAGAGGTGTATGTGGAGTGGGCATCCCCAGGCACGCCCAGGGCCTGCTCCAGCTCAGAGGGAGCACAGACCGTGGGCCAAGGTTCGGGAGCTCCGATGTTTTCTCCGTGATTTGTCATCATCCCACCCTCACCTGCTGCATGTTACCTTTTCTAATTTAAAAAAAGACTTCAGAGTCAGAGGTGTGAGTTCTTGGAATCTTTCTGGAAAGGGGGTCAGGTGGGGCTTTCTTAGAGAGTGAAGAGATTTCTTATGAAGATTCACTAGAACTCCTGGTCACTCCCCTGAAGACTTCCCATTTACACACACACTTTCTGTGGTTGTTGGCACCAATTGCGGAAATTTTTAGAAAATTTATGATGGTTATATAAGATGAAATTTAGTTAACCACCAAAGGAAAAAAGTAGAAACCTCCTAAATGAGGCAGATAGAAAGTAGTATTTTTCTTATTATGAGGGTTGGCCTGAGTGGTGGGTTGGAAGGCCTCCAGTAGCTGCCTGCCAGCTTAGAAAAAACACAACTTACGAAAGGCAAGACTAGTTTAACTGGTTTAGCCAGTGCATGATGCTCTGAGGACAGGCACCTGGCTGGGGAGGTTTGGGAATGTGCTGAGCCCCTGCTGGAGGGGCAGGGAAGGGCGGTCGGTCGACCCCAGAGCACCGAACGTTAAACCCCCTGTCCTCCTAAGTGCCTTCCTGGAAGGTGAGGATAATGTATAGAAGGGAGGGGGTTTGTTGCTTCTTTTTTGTGGGTAAGATGGATCAACCTGAATGGGTGTTTTAATTTCTCTCCCTTTCTAACATCTCTGTTTGTGACTCTGAGAGTGAGGGACCGTGCCCTAAAGAATACGCACTCACATTTTTACCCTGAGTCTCTGGGCTAGCAGAACAAGCGTGGAGATGGGGGTCTGACTGACGATGCTCTGAATGGAAGAGCATCATAATCCTGTGGAGTCATGCAGGTGACCTGCTGTTAACTGAAAGCTTAGGGGTCCTCGGCCTAGGGAGAATCTGGGGGGCAGCAGGTTCATTTGCCAGCAGCACCAAGGAGAGCTCCCTTCAGCTGTGTTCTAGGGGGCGGAAGCCCATGCCCAGCTTCTTACGTCATGATGCCCTCTTCCTCCCCTCTGCCAAAGGCCATTGCCCCCATCTTCAAGGCTCTTGAGATGCTAAATGTCACACAAGCTATCTTTTAAAGTCAAAGGAGGCCGGGTGCAGTGGCTCACGCCTGTCATCCCAACACTTTGGGAAGCCAAGATTGCTTGAGCTCAGGAATTTGAAACCAGCCTGGGCAACATAGTGAGACCCCATTTACTAAAAATAAAAATTTTTTCTGACATGGTGGCAAGCGCCTGTAGTCCCAGCTACTCAGGAGGCCGAGGTGAGAGGACCACTTGAGCCCAGGAGATCGAGGCAGCAGCAGGCTTGATCACGCCACTGCACTCCAGCCTAGGCAACAGAGTTTGACCCTGTCTCAAAAAATAAAATATAAAATAAAAATGTGAGAGGATCTGGCTTCCTGGAAAAGCAGAAATGGCTCTGGCTGTAGCCTGCCCTGTGCCTGCAGGCACCACTTTGTCCCGTGTCGCCTCCTCTCAGAGACCCTGTGGTCAGGATGAAAGCAGCCTACCCTTTCCCTGCCTGGGGAAACTGGGTGCTGGCTGAGGAGTTTGCCCAGCCTTGCTTGGGGCACTGCCCAGAGCCATTGTTAGATGCTGTACAGGCTGGAATCAGGCTGGACAGGCTGGAGTCAGACTGTGGAGGTGTCTGTCCTGTTACTACTCCTACAGGAGGGCAGGGAGGGGCAGGTGACCGCTCACCCAAGGTGTCCAGTTGTTGCTGACCAGCTGTACCAACCGCCAGACTGGCCGCTGCTGGGTGCATGAGGAGCGAAAGCGATGAGGGCAGGCCTGCAGGGCCCTGACACAAGTGAGGAAACCAGAAACAGGTGGCTACAGGAAAGGGGACTGTGGGAGGGAGCTGTGGTGGCCTCAGTAGGAAAGTATGGAGCACTCCAGGCCTGAGCTTTAGTTGGCTGTCCCCACTATCCTCATTGCGGGTGACCCAGCTCACCAAAACAATTGTATTGCACTTCAAAGGCCTGGGGAGTTGGATGGGCCACTGCTAGTAGGCCATGCTCTCTGCTCAAGGTCACCCCGTTGCCTGAAGAGCACAGCCCCCAGATTTCCCAAAAGGGGAGCTGACAAGGCCTGGCATGGGTGGCACTGCCCTGTCCTGTCCTTGGCAGATTGGGCCAGCAGCTCTGCATGCTGAAGAGGCGGCAGGACCAGGCACTCCACCGCACCTAGGCTGGAAATGAGGCCAGAGGGCGGAACCTGAGCCTCTGCGTCATTTGCTAGGGGTTTCCCTTCTGACTCCCACCTTCCTTCTCTGTGGGCCCGTAATGTCCACCAGGCCCAAGTGGAGATGGAGAGGTATGTTCCTGCATTCAGCTGCTGCCTCGGAGCTGCACGAGCTTTCCCTCCCAGCCAGGTGCAGACCTGTGTCTGCAGCTGTGTGAGCCTCATCCCTCCATACTTCTAGCAGCTCCAGGGTCTCTTGAGGATGTGTTGCCAGAGCTCTCCGCAGGACACTCAAGCCTGGCGTGGTGGAGGGCAGGTGTGTGTCTGTCCTGTCTGGTCTGTTCACTCAGTGACCAAGTTCCTGCATCCACCTCAGGCCCCCTGCACACACTTCACAGAAAGGGGGAGATGTGAGTGAAGTGCCTGTGAGATGGGTGGTGTTTTCCAGCCCCGAGGGAAGACACCTTATGGACTGGTCTTTTAAGGAAAAGGGGCCGGTCGCTGGGTGGCAGAAACTTGGGCTTGGGAGTCATCACCACTTAGCAGCTGCATGAGCTTATCCGGAGATCCCCACAGGGGCTTTAGGAGTCATGATCTGTGTGTCTGGGGAGTTACCTGCATATAGCTGGCTCAGAGAAGTAAGGCTGTTTTTCTCCTCCTCCTGGATATCTTTGCTTTGACAAATAGCAGCTGTCAGAAGCACCGTGCCTGGATCCCAAGGAGGGAGCAGAAGATGCCACCGCCTCCCACCCCTGGCCCATCACAGGCATCATCCCTCCCTCCTGTTTTGGCTTTAGGGCTGTGCCTGCCATTCTGGTTTGGTTCCCTGGTCTGGTTAGAGGGACAGGCACTGGCACCATCCCCGGCCAGGCCAAACACACTTCCAAGCTCCCCCTTGGGCAGTGACATTGGCTGGTGTTGTACAATAGTGTCAGGAAACTTGGGAGGTGCTTGAGAGCTAGTAAGAAAAGGGCAGAACCCAAATGGTAGAACGTTTGGCTTTGTTCCTGTGTTCTTATCCGGCAGCATTTGGTTTTTTGTTTGTTTGTTTAATTTTTTTTTTTAATTTTTTATTTTTTTGAGACAGAGTCTCACTCAGTCACCCAGGCTGGAGTGCAGTGGTGCAATCTCAGCTCACTGCAAGCTCTGCCTCCCGGGTTCACACCATTCTCCTACCTCAGCCTCCCGAGTAGCTGGGACTACAGGTACCCGCCACCACGCCCGACTAATTTTTTTTTGTATTTTTTAGTAGCAACAGGGTTTCACCGTATTAGCCAGGATGATCTCGATCTCCTAACCTTGTGATCCACCCGCCTCAGCCTCCCAAAGTGCTGGGATTTCAGGTGTGAGCCACTGCGCATGACCATCCGGCAGCATTTGTTGAACTCCTTCTCTGGGGGCCTGGAGATACGAGGGGACATTTGACTCCATCTGCCACAGAGTGTCAGTTTGTGTGGGCCAGGAGCCTGGGTTTTGTGCTGCAAGGCCGCCGCCATGGCTTTTCTCTGACTGCAGGCAGCAGGTTCGCGTCAGATGCTTCTGGAAGTCTTGTAGGAACCAGTTGATAGTCAAGCATCAGCTTCAGCCATTTCCACTTCCCTGCTAGGATCCCAGGGACATCCGGAGGCCACTAACTCCCACAGCCCCAGGGGTGGGGACAGGAAGTTGTACTCGGCCCACTCCAACCTCTTGCTGGGTTTGTGTGCCTCCTGCCTTCTGCCGTGGAAGAATGCTGCTCCCTGGGCACTGGGCTCTGTGTGGGCACTGCTGGCTTCCCCATGCAGTCTGAGTGGAAGCCCACGACTCCTCCCTATTGCCAGGAACCTCCAGGTGGCCTTTTGCAGCCAGTGGCTCTTGGTCCCAGTGAAATGTGCTCCCTGCCATGTGCCAGCCTGCATGGGGTGCCTGCACATTTTAGTTCTTCCCACCAGTGCCGCAGACTCAGGCCAGCTGGTAAGGCACAACACTGCACTGCATAAAACCTCCTTGTGGAGTGGTGAGGAAAAGCTGCCTCTAAGCTTCCTGTGCTCAAGTCCGAGTCCTTTAGTGCACAGGCCTTCTGTCCCAGGACAAGAAGAATCGCCCTCGTGCCCCCTGCCTTTCCCCTTCCCCTTCCCCTTCCCTTTCCACCAGTGAGGTTCAGTGCAAAAAGAAGGAGAGTGAAGTACAGTCTTGTTATACAGCGCCTAAGCCTTATCCTCATACCTGCCTGTCCCTTCCCTGAATCCATCACCTCCTGCGGGGCCATGAGGGAGACCACATGTGCCCTCCTGGAGCTGACACAGATGGGGAGAGAATACACCTGGTGTGGGAAGCTGTATGGGACCCAGATAATTCTAGCTAGTCCCTTCGGCTCACAGTGGAGTATACTAATCAGTAGGAGAAAATGCAAAGGGAAACTACTTCGGAATCAGTAATTGCTGTGTTCCCAGGAAATCCTCCTTAAGTATGGAGGGGAAGGAATGCTTTAGAGGAAACTAAGGGCTGTAGCCCATACACTCATGTCATAGATGAGGTGCCCAAGACAAAGAGAGTAGGGAATACAGGTCCAAGAATGTCTGCAGGATGACTCTGCCCTCACTAAGCTATGCCGTTTTTCCTTCCATCTATGTTGAGGTTTTTCCCTCTGTTTTATTATGAAGAATGTCAAACACACAGCAAAGTTTTTATGTTTTTTGAGACAGTCTCATTCTGTCACCCAGGCTGGAGTGCAGTGGCACAATCTTGGCTCACTGCAACCTCTGCCTCCCATGTTCAAATGATTCTCCTGCCTCAGCCTCCCAAGTAGCTGGGACTACAGGTGTGCGCCACCATGCCTGCCTAATTTTTGTTTTTTTGGTAGAGACAGGCTTTCACCATGTTTGCCGCACTGGTCTCAAACTCCTGACTTCAGGTGATCCATCTGCCTCAGCGTCCCAGAATGCTGTGATTACAGGCGTGAACCACTGCACCCGGTGTACAGCAAAGTTGAAAGTGTGTAAAGAACACCCCTATTGCTGGGGCACGATGGCTCACACCTGTAATCCCAGCACTTTGGGAGGCCAAGGTAGGTGGGTCATGAGGTCAAGAGATCAAGACCATCCTGGCCAACATGGTGAATCCCCGTCTGTACTAAAAATACAAAAATTACCCGGGCATGGTGGCGCACACCTGTAGTCCCAGCTACTCAGGTGGTTGAGGCAGGAGAAATGCTTGAACCCGGGAGGCAGAGCTTGCAGTGAGCTGAGATCCGGCCACTGCACTCCAGCCTGGGCGACAGAGGAAGACTCCGTCTCAAAAAAAACGAGAAAACCCCTGTTACACAACACAGGCACCACCTGGAGTCTGCAGTGTACTAGACCCGTTTATCCATCCACCAACCCATCTTATCCTTCTGATGCATTTCATAGTAAAATGCAAACACCAGTATGCTTCCCTGTCGGGGTTTTTAACTAAAGTAGTGCACATTCGAGGCTGGGCGCGGTGGCTCACACCTGTAATCCCAGCACTTTGGGAGGCCGAGGCGGGTGGATCACGAGGGCAGGAGATTGAGACCATCCTGGCTAACACGGTGAAACCCCGTCTCTACCAAAAATACAAATAATTAGCCGGGCGTGGTGGCGGGCGCCTGTAATACCAGCTACTTGGGAGGCTGAGGCAGGAGAATGGCGTGAACCCGGGAGGCAGAGCTTGCAGTGAGCCGAGATCGCACCACTGCATTCCAGCCTGGGTGACAGAGCAAGACTCCGTCTCAGGAAAAAAAAAAAGAAAAAAGAAAAAAATAAAGTAGTGCACATTCGAATACTACAGAAGTACATGAAAGGATTTTTCTCCAGGTCCTCCTTTCCTCTACCACTATGAAAGTGTGTGCATCCTTCCAGACTTTGATCTGTGCCTACACACGCATTTGAATATGTATGGTAGCTAGTGCTTTCAAGCAGGGGGATCACGCCCATGTGTTCATCCACTACTTGCCGTGTTTGGAGTCTGAGGGGACAGACACTCCAGCAGCAGACTCTGTGCCATCTCCCTTCTCAGTTTGTGTCGCCCTTTCAGGCGGGCCCTCAGGCTAGCCAGATGTTCCAGACAGAAAATGACCATAAGTTGTCCTGGTGGCCAGGAAGCGAGTGACTTCTCTCGCAGCTCATGTGCCTGGGGACTTAAAGATCGAATCGGTTCCATTTTATGCTTTTTCCTTGGGGTTCCTGGTAGGGGGCTTTGAGGAGTGGAAGCCATAGCCTTCTGGGCCTTGAAGAATCTTCATTTTATGGGCCCCAGGTGTTTGCCTTTCCACCGAAATAATAAGAGAACACAAAGAAACAGCAATGAGAAGGCCTCTCAAGCAGAGGGTCCCAGTCCCAGCCCCACCATCCGCGAACCCTCTCATGAGGTGTGTGACTTCCTTGGGCTTCCGGATCCTCATTCGCAAAATGAGAATAACACCGGGTGACCTGCCCAGCTTGGAATATGGTGAGGCTCAAAGGAAAACACGCACACGTGTTTGTCACTGGCAGTGTTCGGGACAGTTAAGCTCCTTTAGTGATGGAGAAGGGATCCTGCCACAAGCTCTGCCTTCTTCACAGCCGAGACACTGCTCTCCTGATATTTCCCCTGTGGCGTGGAGAGCTTCTGGGTCGCCTTTTGTTCACGCCGCCTCTTGCACCTGCCCTTCAAATTCTCATGTCAGCCTGGGTTTGTCTTCTGCCTTCTTTGGATTTTGGTCTGAACTTTCTCCCCGGACTGCCTCTTTATCCCACATCCATGCCTGGCACCCATGTCTCTGTTCCAAACCTCAGCTCTAGGCTTCAGCAGCCTCCTGGAGGTCTCCATCAGCTGGCCAGGCCTCCTCCCACCCAACTCAGAATCCGTCCCTTCCTTCTCATGCTTTCCTTCTGGACACCCTCCCTTAGTGCAGGCACCTGCTGTTTGCCCCGCTGCCCCCATCGGCACACGCAGGGCTGCTGCGCACTCCTTGTTGTCAGCCCCAGTCACCACAACAGAACACAAGGCTGTTCCCTGTGCCCAGAATCTCCCGTCACCACCCCAGCCTCATCCATCCTCTCCAAAGCCTTCCTGGAACAGCCTGATGAGGTCTCTTTCTCCATACCCTCGCCCCTGGGCCTGCGCGTCAGAAGATGTCCTGGAAGTCCTCATGCTGTGCCTTTTGGTCTCCTTGTTCGGCATCCCTACTAGTCTGTGAGCTGCTTGAATCCCAAGATCACGACTATTCACTGTCGCCAGCACGCAGAATGTCATAGGACTTAATAAAAACCACTGGGTTCCCACAGGTGCAAGTAGCTTCCTTCCATTTCTTCTTTTTGGGATGGTGAGCAGGGTCATTTTTTGTTTCTTTCTTTTTAAACATTGAGATGAAATTCACCATAAAATTAACCATTTTTATATGTGCAATTTAATAGCATTTAGGACATTCACAACCCCCGTCTTTATCTGGTTCCAAACACTTCATTGCCCCACAAGAAAACCTCTGATGTGATTCCACTTATATGAGGTAGCTAAAATAGTCAAACTCACAGAAGCAGAGAGGAGAAAACTAGTGGAGGCCAGGGGCTGGGCGGGGGGGAGGGGAGTGGTGGATTAATGGGTGTAACATTTTAGTTATGCAAGATGAGTAAGTTCTAGACATCTCCCGTACAACATAGTGCCTACAGTTGACAATACTGTATTGTATACTTGAAGATTCATTAAGAGGATACAGCATATGTTAGTCTTACCACAAAAAAGTTTTTAAAAGGGGAAAAACGGGTCGGGTGTGGTGGCTCATGCCTTAATCCCAGCACTTTGAGAGGCCAAGGTGGGCAGATCACAAGGTCAGAAGTTCAAGACCAGCCCGGCCAACATGGTGAAAGCCATCTCTACTAAAAATACAAAAATGAGCCAGACGTAGTGGTGGGCGCCTGTAATCCCAGCTACTTGGGAGACTGAGACGGGAGAATAACTTGAACCCAGGAGGCGGGGGTTGCAGTGAGCCGAGATAGTGCCACTACACTGCAGCCTGGGCGACAAAGTGAGACTCCACCTCAAATAAAAGGGTGGGGGAAAGAAAACCCCTTTCCCATTAAGTAGTCACTCCCCGTTTCCCCCGTCCCCAATCCCAATCTCCTTTCTGTCTATGAATGTATCTATTCTGGACATTTCATATGAGTGGGTTCATACAATAGGTGGTTTCTTTTACTTTATGTAATATTTTTGACGTTTATCCATGTTGTAGCATGTGGCAGTTCTTCCTTTTCCTGACTGAGTAGTATTCCATCGTCTGGATACGTCATCTCTGTGTATCCGTTGCACAGCTGGTAGACACTGGGTTGTTTCCACCTTTGGGCTGTTGTGAACAACGCTGCTGTGAACCTCCATGCACAAGGATTTTCTTGGGGACCAGTTTCTTCCTCTCATTCTTGCCTCCTACCACTCTCCCCATTACCATATTTTTCCAAACCAGACATCAGCGCACCAGCTGCGTGTGTGTTTAGGGAAAGCATCTGCGGAGGGAAACAGCTTGCCTCATGTTGCCCCTGCTTCGTGTCTACCCTTCTCCAAGCCTTTTTTGTCCACTGTCACCTAGGCTTTTGGTTAATTGCGTGTTGGGATTAATCCCATTTTGTCTTTGGGTAATTAACATGTAGTGTCCACGCATTATCTATCTCCATGGTGAGAGTCAAGGTCCTTCTTGGGTTTCTGTGTCCCCTGCAGAGCCGAGCACAGCTTGGGGCAGCTTAGCAGTTCCCTAGTTCCTAGGCTCTCGCCTGCCCCGTGCCACCTGTCCACTGGTGACTAACCCTCTTGCACTCTCCCCTGTCCCCCTTGCAGATGATGTGCTGACTAAAGATGCGGGTGAGTGTGTGATCTGCCTGGAGGAGCTGCTGCAGGGGGACACGATAGCCAGGCTGCCCTGCCTGTGCATCTATCACAAAAGGTAGGAGGGGTTGGCAGGGTAGCTCAGTGCACCCCACCTCCCAGAGGGGCAGACCCCCATCTCCAGCCATTCTGTTTCCTTTGGTTATGGGATGATCTCTCCCCTAACCTCTGGCTCCGAGTGGGTAAGGGCAGAGGCTGTCAGACAGGTGTCCATTGTGCCGGCGGGAAGGTGTGAGCATCCCAAGCGCAGGGCAGAGCTGAGTTGCCAGAGGTGTACTCTGGTTTGAGGACTCAGGTGGTGGGAGCTGATGGGGAGGCCTGTAGAGCCTCACAGGTTGGAGGAGCTTAGGATCCCACCGGGAAGGTTGGTTCTCCGTCTGTCTCCCTGCCTCTTCTTCTACGGGCCCTCTGCTCCGCGCGGGGAGAACATCAATCTGTGCGAGGAAGGCCAGGTGGAGGGTGTGCCCACTGCCTTGTACTGGCCTTCTCCCTAGAGGGCCAGGAGGCAGGAAGAGCCATTTCCTGTGGGGCCACAGCACTGGGAGCAGTTGTAAGTAGCAGGCCCAGATTCACCCTCAGGCTCCAGTGTGAGCCTGGTCCTTGTTTCCAGCCGGAAGGAAGGCATCCTCTTGCCCAAGAGAGGAGGACACTGTGCTGCCTGTGGCCAGCACCTGCTGAATCCTTGAGCCCAGAGCTTCTTCCTGACACTCAGGTCTTTCAAAGCCTGACTCTCAGGGCCACTGCTGCACAGGATGACAACCAGGCACGACACGCAGCATGGCTGGTGCAGAGGAGGCTCAAGGCTGGCCTGGGAGAGATTCTTGGTCTAGCTCCCAGCACGGAGCCTTGCTTGTGTCCCAGGGAGGCACTAACCAGAACCGGAAAAGGAAATCTTTGACTCCTAGGGAGAATTATGCAAATTATCTGTCTGGTTCCTGTCTTTGAAAATGCCCAGATGTTGGTTTACAAATCAGGAAGCTGTCTTGGGGCAATCTCTGTTCCCTCTTTGATGCAGAGGGCCTTTCTCTGTCAACACTGGAGACCAGGGCTGACTGTCTCTGGTCTGACTCCCCTCCTGCCTCTTGCAGTAAGGACTAGATGCTGCTATCAGCTGATCACGGCTGAGCAGGGTAGAGCTTGGGGCTCTCCTAAGAGGTCACCCACTGGGAGGGAGCCTCACAGCTGTTCTTTTGACCCAGGAAGGAGCTCTTTCAGGACCCTGGCACCCAGAGCCATGGCCCTTCTGCCGTGCCATTGTTCCCACTTCCCTGCCCTTGGAGTCTTAGAGACAGCTGACTAGCTGTCCTGCGGGGTCCACCGCTCTCACCTCACTGGTGGCTGCTGCCATCCTCCTGGGCCCTGTGCACAGAAAGCTTTGGTCCTTCTCAAGGCCACTCTCCCCCTTCCTACAGCACCAGATCCCCCTGAGCCAGTACCCACCACCGCTGCCTCTGGCTGGGCCAAGACTAATCTTGGTGTTCTCCCTTCTTCCTGCTTCAGAAAGTAGCCATATCTGGGGACATGATTGTGTTTCTCTGGGGTCCTTTCAGAAGAGACTTAGGAAGCTCCTGCTCAGGAATCTGGCCCTTTGAAAGAGCCCCTTCAAAGCAGCCTGAGCAGCAGGTAATGTGGTTTCCCTTGCGGCCCCCTCCCCCCAGCTGCATAGACTCGTGGTTTGAAGTGAACAGATCTTGTCCGGAACACCCTGCGGACTGACCTGCGGGCTTGCTTGCTGACTCCTCTCAAAGGTGAGCCCGCGTTTGGGGGTGCTCCGGGCTCAAGGCTTGGGGTCAGGTCACTTTGGGGGCATGCAGGCTAGGGAGCAGGGCTGCCCTTATGCCACTGAGAAGAAAGCAGGAGCAGAGGGAAGGAGAACCTTATCAATTAGTCATCTGGAAATGATTTTCCCTGGGAAGGACAAGAGATACAAATCAACATGGGCAGTTATGAAGAACAGGCTCAGAAGAGTTAGGATCAGCTGGGGAAGAGACCAGTACATTCTACATTCCTAAAGAAAGTTCAGGAATATCCCCTGGGAATGTGCACGGGCAGGAAAAGGAGCCTGAGCGCTGGGTTTGTGCCTGGCGTGGTCTCTTGCTCGCTGAGCTCTGAGTCTCTGCCTCTTCTCTGGTAACGGGGATAATCTCACTCCCTGTTGCCATAAGGACATTGCACTTACTAAACAGCCAGCCATGAGCAGCGGTGCATTGTTCCCTGCAAAGTGCTCGTCAGCGATCATTTGACCACTGCTTCTTCCCATGCCGCTTCCAGATGAATCTGTGGCCTCCAGGCCAGACTCGATCTCGATCCCTCCATCCCACAGCACTGGGTGCTGACTCCACACATCGCTCTGGCTCACCGCTGGGTCTGGCCTCCCCATTTCTTCCCCAGGGGTACCCCGCTTGCTGCCAGCCATCCACCCCTGACCCCCATCTCACCTGTCCCTTCCAAGTTCTGGGCTGGCATTTTCCTTTTTCTGGCAAACAAGTAGACAAAACCCCCATAAAAACCAAAAGCCGAACTCCATCTCACAGCCAAAGGTTTTGGGGCCTCTCTTCTTCCCCCTCCCTTTCTCTCTCTCTTGTTTTTGTTTTCTTTTGTTAGGTTTATTTTATTTATTCCAAGTAAACTCTCCCAGAACAGCTGATGATGTCAGACAAATCAGGGACATTTGCTTTTTTTTTTTTACCTTCACCTCAAAAACTGATGACAAGGGGAGAAGAAAGAGCCGGGGGGAGAGTGAGGCAGGGGAGTAGAACCTGCCCAGGCGCATGGCTGCAAATTCCCCATGTGCTGTTTGGCTTCTGGGGTCCTGTGTAGATGCCCCAGCCCCGCCTGCCCTCTCGGGATGCAGCTGCCCTGGGATGCAGCAGCCAGCCCTCGGCCCGACGGAGCACGACTTATTTATTACGGTCCACACAGGGACAGAGAGCCCCTGCTCCAGGGAGGAGGCTCACCGGACCCTGGGGCAGAGCTGAGCTTGGGACACCAGCGGGAACAGGGCACCCCTTCTGCACTGACTTCCAGATCATGGTTCTCCCTTCCTCCCTGAGGACACCAAATTGGATGAGAGCAAGTTTGAGAGAAGAATGAATCAACTGCTATCCTTCCCCTCACCCCTCAGCCCAGGAGGGAAAGGGCATTTTCTTTTTCATCTTTGAAAGGCATTGTGGGTCTGTCTTTAAAGTGTTTACAAAAAAAAAAATTATATAAAAAAAAGTCTAGTGTCGACTGGTGTTTTCCCTCGTGATGTTTACAGCTTGCTGTTTGCTGCCCAGCCATAACCCACTCAGTGACAGACGAACACAGCCAAGCCCTCGCCGCCAGCCTTCTGACGGTGGGCGAGCACACAGTCTCTTCCCCTGCCCCAAATGGCCCTCTCCACCACCAACTTGTCTACTTTGGGTTTGGTTTTTTTTCTTCTATTTTTCTGGCTTGGTTTTTTGCTCTTTTCTCCCCTTGAGACCCTAATATCTTGACTTCATTGCCAAAAAACAACCCATCGAGAACTTTCTTCCCACTGATCCCATCTCTTTTTCCCTTCTTTCCTCCTGGTTCCGGTCAGTTCAGAGGATTTAACAATCACAAGTGTCCTGCAAAAATGCCTGAACATTATTCTTAGGCCCTTGTGGATTTTTTTTTCCAGAAAACTTAAACAAAAAAAGACTTACTAAGAAATATGTACAGCTACCCCTGTTTTCAGGCACTATGTTTGAGAACATTTTAGCCATTGATGTTCACACGTGGCATCAGCCCATGCAAGATAGGTTTCTGTATTTATATATTAAAATACAAAAAAAACTTATAAAATGTTTAAAAAAATGTTCAAAGCTTGGGAGAAAAGCTTTCTTCATTAGTCAAGGTGTTTTGATATGGTATTAAAATGTCTAATAAAAGATACACTGTGTGATTTTATTTTAATGAGGTGTTGTTATACAACCAAGAAATGGGGGCAGGGGCCTGCCCCCCAATCCCTCACCTACCTCCTTAGCATTCCTTCAGGCTGCTGCTCGGGGCTCCAGGTGTGTGAATTGGTCCTCAGACAGGCCTGGGTGGAGGGAGAGTGGCAAGTCAGGCGTGCCTCCTACAAGCTTCCTAACCTCTTAAGCATCATGGAACCAGTCAGCCCTCCTCTGTGGAGTCATTGTGCCGGACCTCTGAAAAGATCTGCAGGGGCCAAGATGTTGCAGCTACTGGAGGCTGCAAGGATGTGGGTTCTTCCAGGTGTGGGCCCAGCCCCCCTCCTTCCAGCCTCTGCTCCCCATCCCACGTTCCACTCGCCCTGCCTGTTGTTCAGTTTGCATCTCAGTGCTGACTCACGGGCATGCTTCATTGAGGCCCAGGAAGAGGCCCTGGTTTGGGGCTGTGCCAGTTCAGAGCCCTTGAACCAGAACCAACTGCTCAGGCTCACAAAAGTTGGCAAAATGCAGGCTGGGCGGGCAGCTCGGGGCAGGGAGCAGCAGTGCAGGCCTGGCCTGTGTCCCCATGCCCCGCGGGCTCCCGGAGCAGCGTTCCAGAGCCTCCTGCAGAGCCAGCGAAGGAAAGCTGTGGAGGGAGACGACTCCACCGCCTCTCTGCTCTGACCCTTCTCAGGCCCGCCTGATGTCTGGACCACCCCCCTGCTGCCACAGCCCCTGGCTCCACAGTCACCCTCCATCAGATGCTTCCAGAGGCACCTACTGTGTGCAAGGGCATTCACAACAGGCCAGTGGGCAAACGTGAGCCAGGGCCAGCGGAGAAACACTAAAGACGACTCGGTGGTTCAGAGCCTGGGCCTCAGCGCGGGACCCGTCTGGGGTGAAGACCTTGGGGCTGTTGTGAGTCGACGGCAGGAACGTGGGCTCTAGACTGTGCATTCAGGCTCTCCTACTTGGCAGAATGATCTTGGGGAAACGACTTCATCTGAACTTCAGATTTTTCACATGTGAAGTAGGGACAAAACCATGCAGCTCAGAGGTCCCTGTGGGGGCCGGGGGAGCTGCCCTGCAGGTCCTGGCACATGCACAGCAGGCTCCCCATAGCTTTGTCACCACAAAGGGCACTGTTCTATTCACAGCACCTCCTGCTTCTGCCTGGCAACTGTGTCTCCCTGTGCTATATTTAATTCCACCAGCAAAGCTGGCAAGGCAGGGCCCAGCCCTGAAGGAGATCTCCTTGCCTGAGCCCTGGATCTGGAAACGGAGGCTTCAATGTGCCCACCTTGGCGGCTTAAGCCTGCTGCTTTGGCAGTGCCACGGGTGAGCCGAGCAGCTGTGAGTTGGGTGGGGCAGGGCTGTAGCCCACGCCGGGTGCTATTCCAGGCTCCAGGGGCTGGTGCTCATCCCCACCCCCAGCGACTTCAGTCCTACCTGGCACGCTGCAGCCCTCTGCCGGCTGCGGGGTCCTCTGAATCCAGACCCAGGTTGCCTGCTTTTGGTGTGGGGGTGGGATTGGGGCTGTCTGAGCTTCCCAGGTGGAGCTCATGTTTGTGATCCTCTGTCCGGACAGCTCTCCAGAATCCTGTGTTGCCCCTGCTCTGCCTCTCTGGGATGGGAGAGAACGTAAGGGAGCCGGCGAGCAGGTTCTACCCGCTCTGCTAAGGGCCTAGCACACTTTGATGAGGTTCCTAGATATGAGCCCCTCACAAAGACCAACCATTCCTCTAACAGCCATTTAAAGGTACTGAAGTTCATGGGAAAATGTCCTCATTCTTAGGAGATAGATGCTGAATTATATAGGTGAATGTCTTCAAGAAATGTGTAGTTTAATTCCAAATGGTTCCCCCCAAAATACACAAAGCAAATAAGGCCAAAATGTTCATTGTTGAATCTGCAGTGGCTGGTATTTCAGTGAACAGTGTACTTGTTCTTTCAACTTTTCTGTATGTTTGGAATTTTTCTTAATAAAAGATTGTGGGAAATGGTCATTTGCTGAGCGCCTCCTAGTTTCCAGGCGCTGGAGGGCGCATCAAAGAAGAGTCCTATCCAGCTGCTGCAGGATTCCCACCTGGAGGAGTGGGTGGGTGGCTGGCTGGCTGGAAGGGGAGGGGCGAGAGGGCTGTCTGGGTGATGAGCACACGTGTGCTGGGGTGGTTTGGGGAGAGGGTTGAGATTTGTCACCAATCAGCCCTTGGCACGGTCTCTGCTCCCCACCAGGGCAGCACGGGACAGAAACGTCACAGAGTGGCCTCCAGGCTCAGGTCGGTGTCACGGCTGTCGGCAGGAGCCCAGTGTTAGCCTGGAGCGGGGGGGTTCCGAGCACTGAGGTTGGACTGAGGCGTCTCACTGCAGCTGCCTCTGCCTTAGGCCTAGCAGCCTGCCTGAGCACTGAACAGCTGATGGGAGGAGGAGAGGGGCGGAGGCCAGGGAGGGCATGGGGTGTGGCATGCCCCTTTCCAAAAGGGACCGAAGACTAGAGGGGCGAGGAAGATGAGACAGCACTACAGGTTCCTGGGATCTGCGGGGGTGGAGGACTTAGCTTGGCTTCTGGGCTGCCAGGCCTTCCCTGACCCTAGGAGGAGGTTTGCCCAGGGCTGAGAGCTGCAGGCCCGGGGCAGAAGTGAGTCCTGAGCCGCAGCTGCGTGGAGCAGATGCCGCGTGGTATCTGAGCTTCATGATGTCGGGCGCCCTCCTGTGGGCTTAGGGAGAACAGCTGCCAACATCTCAAGACTGAGGCTCTGGCCCAAGACAGGGCCTCCGGTGGACAGACCTTGAGGGCAAAACAGCTGGTGGTACGATACATCACCCCATGAAGAGGTGGGTGCAAAAATAGTTTCATCTCTGTTTCTGAAGACGTGGCAGCTGCTGAGGAACACATTCAGTGTGTTCAGAGGCCTGGTTCAGGCCCAGTTGGAGAGTCCATCCTAAGTGACACCGTGGGCAGGTCCTCAGGCCTGAGGCCGAGTAGCTGGGACAGGGACCTGGGTTCCTTTCCGAACCCTGAGCACCGCCCCCCTCCTCAGGCTATAACAAGTCAGAGGACAGCCCCAAAACAAAGGGGTCACTAGCCAAAGGACAGAGAACCTGGAGCGGGAGGGGAGGAAGTGCTGCCTGCTGACTTCCAGGTCGCTGCAGGTGGGTTTCAGGTTTATTCCAGATTTACTGGGGGAAGCTCCAAGGAGAAGACCTACCAGCATGGCACGGGAGCTCACGTCCCATACCAGGAAAGGAGTGCCTGTCACCAGGTGAAGGGGGAAGGGTCCTGGGACCCCAGCAGTGGGAGGCCTCAGGGGAGGAGTGTCATCAGAGTCTTGAGTGGACCCAGATGGTCTCTTCCAGCCCGGACAGGATGCGTAGGAGCAGAGAGGAAGCAGCTTTGCTGGGAACCACCCAGGGTCGTTTACTGAACCAAAGGCTCCTGGAGCCAGCCAGAAGGACGGGGAGTAGCACGGTGCTCAGGCTTCTCTCTGGGCCCTCTGACCTTGGGCCCAGATACAGTGGGCTCGCTGGCAGCAAGACTGCGTCAGCTACTGTCTGTTCCCTTGCAGGGGCCGTGGTATGAAGAAAAGTTCCAGAACAGGGGCTCCGTAGTCTGGGAACTTGTGGGCTAAGTGCTCAGAGCCCCTCACAGCACTTTGCCTGGGTTCATGAGGCCTTGAGGGTCTAGCACAGCCTTGAGCTGCCGCATGGTCTCCACGCCCACGGCGCCCACCTCCTCCCGCAGCAGCTGCCGCTTGCCCAGTCCGATGCCATGCTCCCCCGTGCACGTTCCGTGGAGGGCCAGTGCCCGCCTGGGGGCAGGAAGGAGACATCCTCATGGGGCCCCCTTCCCTCTGCCCTCAGCTATTCCCCTCCCTGACTTTGCTCCTACCTGCCCAGCTGTTCTGCAAAAGCCTTGACCCTGCCCAGTTCCTCAGCGTCATCAGGGTTGACCAGCAGGATGCAGTGGAAGTTGCCGTCACCCACATGCCCGACAATGCTTCCTGGAGGCCCAGAGGACAGAACTGTTCGCCCTCCCTCTTGCCTCCTGCTGCCCCAGGCTCTGGTCGACCCCGACACCCCCCCTCCACCTCTCCCCAGCAGCAGGGTGGGCAGAACCTGTGAGTCCCGAGGCGTTCAGATCCTCCTTGGTCTGCACCAGGATCTCCGGCAGCCGGGAGATGGGCACACACACGTCCGTGGAGTAGCCCTGGTCAGAGGGAGGCCTGTGAGTTACCCCTGCCTGCCTGGGAGTACGGGGTCACCGTGGTCAAGGTTGAGGATGGGTCTGGGGGCACTGGGCTTCAGCTCTTGGCCTCACACAAGGAAATAATCCTGCTCTTCTCTAGGCCTCAGCCCTCACCTCCCCCCAGCACAACACAGGAGACAAATGGCCCAGGCGTGCTTGCCACACCTCCCGGGAGAGGCTGTTCCCACTCCCCTGTGGCTCCCACCGCCAAGCTCCAGGCTGCTAAGCCTTTGCACAGCTGCCTGGAGCCCAGATTCCCCTTCCCCAGGTTAGGCTAACATCCCCCTCTCTATCATCTCTTCCTCCACGAAGCCTTCCTTCCGTTTATAACTCCCGAGAGCACTGCACCGTTCCCACGACCTGGCTCACAGGAAGAGCTTTTGAGGGCTTAGCAGATAACTGTGCTTTCCCTGTAGACAGTATCTGAACAGCGGGGTGGGGCGACCTGCAGCCCCCGGTTCTAGCACCTGCTCAGCCAGGCCCAGCCCCCTTGTTGAGGCTCGGACTGTTGCTCTGTGCAGTAGAGTGGTGGGCTGAGGAAAGGGTTTGTGGGCTGAGCTGTGGGCCCCATCTGCACCCCAGTCCCGCTCACCTTGCAGCCTGGCCGCATGGCCAGGGCTGCGTACCAGGCATTGTGCCGTGCTGTCCAAAGCTGGCTGCGCTCCTCGGCCGCCTTGGCCCAGGAGAAGTCAGAGGCTCCGTTCTGCTGGACTATCTCCTCTGCAGTTGGGGGAGGGAGGCTGACACCCGGCTGCCGCTGAGGCAGCCCACCCTGCTGCCCCACTCCACCCCAGCATACCTGTGCGTTGCAGCTGCTCCTCCAGTGCCTGCTGGGAGCCATGGAACTCCAGGAAGAGTGTGGGTGCCACTGAGCAGTTCAGCTTGCTGTACCTGTTGCAGGCATCCATCATGACTTCATCCAGGAACTCTGGATCCAGGGAGAGGGCAGGCCAGGTGAGTCCTGGCCTTCCCAGAGGGCCTCTTCCAGGGAGCCCACCCTGACTGCCCCTGTCCTCAGCTCACCAATGCGGGCTACGGGCACTGCAGCCTGGAGGATGTGTACAGTGCTGTCCACAGCAGCCTGGACACTGGGGAACGCACACGTGGCGGCCACTATGGCCTCAGGGACAGGGTGCAGGCGCAGGGTGGTGGCTGTGATGAGGCCCAGCGTCCCCTCAGAGCCCACGAACAGCCCAGTGAGGTTGTAGCCGGCTGCACTCTTCCTAGGTCCCAGGGACACGCAAGGTGAGTACCAGGCTGTGTGATGAGAGATTTCTGGCCAGAAGCCCAAGCTGGAACCCAGGACACCGATCCCAGGCACTGAGGTCTGGGCTGGCCTCCCTCGGGCCCAGATTCCCTGGCCCAATTCTTTCTGCTCCACAAAGCAAATCAGCCTCACGCAGGGAGAACAAACCCTGTTCCCATCCACTTTGGCCCAGGTGACAGGGCTTCAGAGCCTGGGGAAGCCTAGCCTGCCAAACCAGGAGGCCGGCAGGAGGTGCCTTTCACAGCCCGGGCAGCCCCCCAGCAGTGCCCAGGGCCAGGGCCCCCGCAGAGGGCACTCACCGGAAATGCCGGCCTTGGCCCGCCGTGTGCAGCAGCCGCCCGTCGGGCAGCACCACCTCCAGGTTGAGCACGTTGTCCCGCATGGTGCCGTAGCGGACCGCGTTGGTGCCCGACGCCCCGGTGGCCGCCATGCCACAGAGAGAGGCGTCCGCACCTGGGTCTGGAGGGCGGCGTACAGGAGAAGGCAGCCTCAGGGACGGGAGGTCCTTTCCCTCGGGCTGGGGGAGGAAGGTCCCCTGAGCCCCAGACACAACCCTGCTCCCAAGTGCCCTCAGGGCCCCAGGAAAGGTTCGCGAGTCCTACCCACGGGAAACCAGAGGCCGCTATCCCGCAGGTGGAGGTTCAGAGCTTTGCGGGTGACGCCCGGCTCCACCACCACAGAGAAGTCCTCCAGGTTCAGCTCCAGGATTCGGTCCATATGCGTCAGGTTAATGCAGACGCCGCCCTGGTGGGAGCGGGTGCTGAGACCACTGCATACCTGGGTCTCTGACCTGGCCACGTCCCCGGGTCACAGCCCGCGGGTGTCCCCCCAGCAGCCAGACCAGACCCCCAGAAGCAGGCAGCCCGCGGGCGGGCGCAGACCCAAGGAGCTGTGTGCGGCGGGGGAGGCAGCCACAGGTGTGCCGTGGTGTGGTGGGACCAGCCCCGGGGCGGGCAGGGGAGCCACACTGTACCTGCACAGCGCAGACGCCACCCTCAAGCCCGGTGCCGGTGCCGAATGGGATAATGGGCACACCTTGGCGGTAGCACAGGGCTGCCAGCCGGCTGACCTGCTCCACGTTCTGGGGCCACACCACAGCATCGGGAGGTTCGCACCTAGAACCAGACCCTCAGTGATTTAGGGGGGCGTGGCACCCTCTGGTCCCGAGGTGTTGCAGGGCCTGAGGCTACAGCGAACGAGGGGCAGAGAACATGCCAGAGCACCCCAAAACAGGTGAGTGAGGGGGAACGCAATCCAGGACCCTCGCTCTCAGCTGGGGTTGAATCCAGAAGATGGGAGGGGTCTGCGAGCCCTCCCATACCTGTGCACCGACTCATCGCGCCCGTGCTGCTCTCGGACCACCGTGGCAGTGGACACGTGGGAGCCGCCCACCACGGCCTTCAGAGCCTCTACGAAGTCCCTGCAGAGCTCGCCCTGCAGGGGAGAAACACACTGCCAGGGTCCCCCGAAAGACACCTGGGGACACAGCCCTGCCCCAGTGTCAGCGTGGAGGGCTGGGGGCTGGAGTGAGCTTCCCCTGCCGACCCCCGGCTGACAACATCCTTGCCAGGTAGGCCCTCTTTAAACAAACCCACTCTCCAGAAATGCCTCTTTTCCAAACACAGCCATTGGGGCCAAAGTTTCCCCTCAGAAAAAAAAAACGCCACCAGAATTTTTTTAATGTTTTCTTTTTTAATAAAAACAGGGTCTTACTATGTTGCCCAGGATGATTTCAAACTCCTGGGCTCAAGCGATCCACCTGCCTCGGCCTCCCAAAGCGCTGGGGTTACAGGCATGAGCCAAGGCGCCCGGCCATTCAAATACAAAACCAGAATTCACTCTCCAAAAAGGCTATCAGCAGTGTTCCTTCAATAGCCAGCCCAGCCTGAGCCACCTGAAAAGGTCCCTCACTTCCTCCTTTCTCCAGGGCCAACCAAGCACCACCCCCGCCACAGGGGACTCAGAGCTTGATAAGGGAATGACAGGGAGGAAAAGCTTCCACTGCCCCCTCCCCACTCTGCCCTGGCTGGGGCTTCTGGAGCCCTTCGTGGGGGGCTGGGGAGGGGAGCAGTTTCTCCCCATTTTACAGATGAGAAATGGAGGCCAAGTTAAGGACAGAGCCTGGCCTGGAACCTAGGTCCTTTCCTCCAGGGCCTTCTTCCACAGGTGTGTTTTATTTCAGAGCCACCCAGGGGCATCCATTTGGCTCCCCCAGCCCCACTCATGGTAGCAGTGGGGACTCAGCTGATCTCTACACTCACTCTACACCCACACTTGCCACAGGGTAAGCCCAGTGCCCTTTTGCCCAAGGTCAGGTCACTTGGTGCTGGGGCGTCACAGAGCCCAGGAAACTTGGGATCAGAACCCCCTGTTCCCCGCTCCCCACCTCATCCCTCCAGGGGACCTCTCTTCTCTCCCGGTACCTTTGCCTTCTGGGAGCAGTAGCCCCTCCAGGGGAACAGCCCCCAGGTTGCAGCCCGGAGCAGTCGGGCCATAGCCAGGCACCTGCCAGAGGGTGTGAGCGCTGGGTGGCAGGGTCACCAGTCAGCTACTGTGGCAGCAGCTGCGGCTGCTGTCAGCCCATTGGCTAGGCCGGGGGTGGGGCCCGCTTAAGGTGGCATGGGCTTTAAGGTGGCCCTTGCAGATCTTGCAGACATTTTCGTGGGCGCCAGGGATGACACTTCTAAAGGAGAAGTGAGGTTCACTGGACGTTTAGGGAAACTGTAAGGCAAAAATAAAATTCTAAGCCTCCCAACTGACCGAATGGACTTTCCTCTCAGCCAAGGGCATTCCAAAGTAAACCTGAAAAATTAATTCAGGCTGTGATGCGAAGCGGTTTAGGACATGCCTCATTATCCCCCTCCTCCCTTTAGAATTCAGACACAACTGAGTAGCATTAACATTAAAACAGAGATCTTAAGGCATTCTGATCTTAAAACACAAAACACTCTTTGTAGCAATAAGATACCAAATTCCAGCCTGACTCTAGCATCACCTGACAGATAGCAGGCCCTGAAAGAAATTGATGTCTTTTACCCCCAAAATATATTTCTTTTATATTTTTAAAAATAGCTCCAAAAAGCTGTCTTTTGTGGGGAAAATCTGGAATCTGTAGAGAAGCCCCTCCCCCTGCCAGGAATTTTTTTTTTTTTTTTTTTTTTTTTTGACGGAGTCTCACTCTGTCGCCCAGGCTGGAGTGCAGTGACGTGCGGCAACCTCCAGCCCCTGGGTTCAAGCAATTCTCCTGCCTCAGCCTCCCAAGTAGCTGGGATTACAGGTGCTTGCCACTGTGCCCAGATAATTTTGTATTTTTAGTAGAGATGGGGTTTCACTATCTTGGCCAGGCTGGTCTTGAACTCCTGACCTCGTGATCCACCTGCCTTGGCCTCCCAAAGTGCTGGGATTACAGACATGAGCCACTGAGTGCCCAGCCTCTTTCCAGGTTTTATCCTGATCTAAGGGAGATTTAACTAAGAGTCTAGCACCTTTTAAGGCCTTAGACATTTACCATCTATGTTACATAATAAGAACCTTGGGCCGGGCGCGGTGGCTCACATCTGTAATGCCAGCACTTTCAGAGACCAAAGTGGGAGGATCACGAGGTCAAGAGACAGAGACCTTCTTGGCCAACATGGTGAAACCTCATCTCTACTAAAAATACAAAAATTAGCTGGGCATGGTGGTACACGCCTGTAGTCCCAGCTACTTGGGAGGCTGAGGCAGGGGAATCGCTTGAACCCAGGAGGCGGAGGTTGCAGTGAGCCGAGATCCTGCCACAGCACTCCAGCCTGGTGACAGAGTGAGACTCCGCCTCAAAAAAAAATAGAACCTTGGTCTCCACAACTCCTTATCTTAACCCAGATGCTTCTTTCTATTGATTCCAGGTTGTCTTTTTAAAAATTTTTAATTAAAAAAAATTTTTTGTTGTATACCAAGATTCCAAGTCTTTGGATAATAATTCTTTTTTTTTTTTTTCTTTTTTTTTTTTGAGACGGAGTCTCGCTGTGTCACCCAGGCTGGAGTGCAGTGGCCGGATCTCAGCTCACTGCAAGCTCCGCCTCCCGGGTTCCCGCCATTCTCCTACCTCAGCCTCCCGAGTAGCTGGGACTACAGGCGCCCGCCACCTTGCCCGGCTAGTTTTTTGTATTTTTTAGTAGAGACGGGGTTTCACTGTGTTAGCCAGGATGGCCTCGATCTCCTGACCTCGTGATCCGCCCGTCTCGGCCTCCCAAAGTGCTGGGATTACAGGCTTGATGGATAATAATTCTTTCAACCAATTGAAAATCAGAAAAAAAATTTTTTTTTTTTTGAGACAGAGTCTCACTGTTGCTCAGGCAGTGGCATGATCTCAGCTCACTACAACCTCCATCTCCTGGGTTCAAGTTGTTCTCATGCCTCAGCCTCCCAAGTAGCTGGGATTACAGGTATGCCACCATGCCCAGCTAATTTTTGTATTTTTAGTAGAGACAGGGTTTCACCATGTTGGTCCAGGCTGGTCTCGAACTCCTGACCTCAAGTGATCCACCCGCCTTGGCTCCCCAAAGTGCTGGGACTACAGGTATGAACCGTGCCCAGCGCCAATCAGAAAAGTCTTTGAATTCACCTATGATCTGTAAGCTCCTCCCTCCATCAGAAGGAACCAACGCATACCTTGCTCATATTGATTAGTGTCTGATGTCTCCCTAAACTGTATAAAAGCAACTATAACTCGACTCTCTTGGATACATGTTCTCAGGACCTCCAGGGAATGTGTCACAGGTCATGGTCTTCATGTTAGTGGTGGCAAATCCATACAGGTCTACAGAAACCTCAATGCTTGCCTTGTCAGAAGAAAGAATTCTACTGAAGAGTTCTGAAACGAAAATATCTTGAGCCCCCAAAATTACTAAGCTAAAGGGAAAAGTCAAGCTGGGAACTGCTTAAGGCAAAGCTGCCTCCCGTTCTTTCAAAGTCACCCCTCTGATCACTCAGCTAAATGCATATCTGACTGCCTCCTTTGGAGAGACTAATCAGAAACTCAAAAGAATGCAAACATTTGTCTCATCTCGTATCTACCTATGACCAGGAAGCCCCCTCCCCGTCTTTCCAGACCCAAACAATGTTCATCAACATATGTTGATTGACGTCTCATGTCTCCCCAAAATGTATAAAACTAAACTTTGCTGGCCGGGTGCCGTGGCTCACGCCTGTAATCCTAGCACTTTGGGAGGCCTGGGTGGGCAGATCACGAGGTCAGGAAATCGAGACCATCCTGGCTAACATGGCGAAACCCCGTCTCTACTAAAAATACAAAAAATTAGCCGGGCGTGGTGGCGGGCACCTGTAGTCCCAGCTACTTGGTAGGCTGAGGCAAGAGAATGGCATGAACACGGGAGGCGGAGCTTGCAGTGAGGCGAGATCACATGACTGCACTCCAACCTGGGTGAAAGAGCGAGACTCCGTCTCAAAAAAAAAAAAAAAAAACTACTGTGGTCTGACCACCTTGGGGACATATCATTGGGATCTCCTGAGGCTTTATCACAACATCAACATTGGCAAAATAAACTTTCTAAATTAACTGAGACCTTTCTCAGATTTTGGGGGTTCATATTTTGGTAACCACGGAAGAATTCTGACTGGAGACGCCCCTATCAGTGCTTGGTACCAGCTTGAGCTATCTTTATGGCTCAAACCAGTAAGACAACTTGCTGAGACCCGGAAGCACCCCCTCCAGAGAATACCTTATCTCTCAAAATCTGGTCAAGATCTAAAGTTCATTTTACAGTACAACTCCTTTTTTTTTTTTTCCCCATTGTTTTACTTGCTTCTAACACAAGGAAGGCAAGTTTTTCCTGCTTCCATGACGATGGAAGGGAGGTAACTCCTTTATGGTGTCTGAGCTTGCATCTAACAGGGAAGATGAGGTTTTTTCCCTGCTTCTAGGACGGTAGAGAGCAGTCTTTAGCCTCAAAGCCATCCCAAGGTAAGTAACTGAATTGGGGTTTGTCTTGGCTAAAGTTAAGATTACAACCAGCTGTTCTTAATTTCTCCTGACCACTAGAGAGCTCAGTAATCATATAAATTGTGTGATCATTTGTTTTGCTTAACTGTTGTGTTGTTGTTTCTCTTTTTGTTGTTCTTTCAGTCTTTTTCCCATTGGGTTTGATCAACTCTATCTGAATTTATCAAATCCAAAGGAAGTTCCAAATTATGGGGAAAGAGGCCTCTGAGGTGGCTAAATTCACACACACACACACACACACACACACACACACGATGATGCAATGGGGGTGAAAAACGGCCAGCAAAAGGAAAAAAAAGAGGAAAGATTTTTTATTTTGACTACTAAGGGGCTTTACTTACGTAACAAGACCACCTTTTTGCTAGCCAGGCCAAACTGAAAGAGCAATGGCTGTATTTCTGAAATAGCAGCAATTTGTCCTAGTGAGAGCAGCCCTAGCTCTCGGTGCCTCCTCGGCCTCAGCCCCCACTCTGGCCGTGCTTGGGGAGCCCTTTAGCCTGCCACGGCACTGTGGGAGCCCCTCTCTGGGCTGGCGGAGGCTGCAGCCGCCTGCCTCTGCTTGCCAGGAAGTGTGGAGGAAGAGGCGCCGGCGGCAACACGGGCTGCGGCAGCGCCGGTGGGCCAGCGTGAGTTCCGGTGGTGCGGGCGTGGGTTCCGCGGCCCTGCACGTGGAGCGGCTGGCCCAGGGCAGTGACGAGCTTAGCACCCGGGCCAGCAGCTGAGGAGGTTGCGCCGGGTCCCTCAGCGCTGCCTGCCCGCATGCACCGTGCTCGAATTATCCCCAGCCTCAGCCGCCTCCCCGCAGGGCAGGGCTCAGGACCTGCAGCCCCCCATGCCCGAACCCCTACCCCCGTCATTCTTGAAGTCAGCAAGACCAAGAACCCACCAATTCTGGACACACTAGCTGAAATATGGTAATGAGATTTTAAAAGACCTTTTTAAAGGAGCTCAATGATTAAAAGTCAGCTTAATTAAAAACTAACATCCAAGGTGAACATGCACGTGTGTGTGCACTTGTGTGTGCGTATTTAAAAGGCCTTCATGTTTTTGTTTTTCTCCAAGGATCTTGTCTTTTTTTTTTTTTTGAGCAAAAGTTTTTTTCTTCTTAGTTGACTGCATTCTGTTTTCTTCATTTACTTCTGCTGCCTCTCCTTTCTCTTGCACCCTCTGCTGCATGAGGGACCTAAAATAGTTTATGATAGCTGGGGTTCCTTAAAGAAAACAGAGAAGGCACCAGGCTCCGTTTAGGGGAGAAAAGTCTGTTTTTCCATATGCAATCCCAAGAGTGTAAACAGGCATGTTCGTCTCATCTCTTAAACTGCTTACTTTTGTATTGTGTTACCTGTTTGTGTATGTTTGCTTTTTTTTTTTTTTTTAACTAAAATAGTTATTGCAACGGAGGTTACCCTTGGGGTATTTTTTTGTTTTGTTTTCTTTGTTTTTTGTTGTTTGTTTGTTTTTTGAGATAGAGTCTTACTCTGTCACCCAGGCTGCAGTGCAGTGGCGCGATCTCTGCTCACTGCAAGCTCCACCTTCCAGGTTCACTCTATTCTCCTGCCTCAAC